TCAGCAAAGTTCGTTTCACTGTATTTCGCTGTACGATGATGATGATGATGATGAAAGATTCTATCACAGTCTACATGAACTCAATTCACGTAAGGCAGCTATTTGAGAGAGAAGAAGGAGTGGCGAACAAGCTCGTTTTTAGTGATTTGTATTCATGCCTAATACATCACAGTAAATGTCACGCTGTATATATGTATCTGTATCAATATTCAAACATGAAAAATCTAATCGGTTATTTTGAGAAAGGGAAAATAACATCATAGGTTAACTGGGGCTAATTCTTTGTGTGTCCTGAAAACACAGTCTGTTTCTTGTTAACACGAACTTCAAACACCCAAAGGATCATCTAATCAGTTGGCTTAATCCCTCCTCGGCACTGACATGGGATCAGCTTGATCAAATGGCAGTCAGCTTTAGACAGGCTGTGTGCAAGTGCCGTTCTTTTTGGTATACCTGCGTGTACTCTACTTTACGGCGCAGAGGCTTGGCCATTACGTGAACAGGATAAAAATAGATTGTTCGTGTTCGAACACCGCTGTCTACGTCCCACAGCACGAATCTGGTGGGAAAACTGGACGAACAATGCTGAGGTTAGGCGTAGCGATTTAGGTAATCGCAGTCGTCCACTGGAACAGGTAGTCGACCTCCATAGATTACGCTGGTTGGGACATGTGCCACTCATGTCACCAGATAGATTGCCACGGCGAGCGATGCTTGCCGAGGCAGGTAGCAGTTGGAAAAAATGAAGGGCGGTCAAGCTAAGACCTGGAATAAGGATATGAAAACCCTGACCAGGATACTGGCTCACATAGGTCCCGTTAGGCTCCCTGGCTGGGGACCCAGAGATCATGGTCACCGATGGTTAGAGACACTTGGCGATATGGCTGGATGTCGCAAACAGTGGCGCTTATGCATCTACCCATTATTCTTGTAACTTCAGTCTTGGAAAATGTGCTATCTTCCGCTTGAATCTGCTCTCAACATTCTAATAATCATTCTGCTTTTTTATCCAAATGGGCAACCGAAGCCGGCGCACGAAATTGCATTGTTAATGGTTGTAGGAGCTGAACTGAACTTGAACTCTGACTATGCATTGCCAAGTTTCCGGTGCGATTTGTCGGTCGCAAAGAATCCAATGCAAACAGCTTGAGGACAAAGAAACTCTATGATCACGTTATCCTCCATACTCTTTTATCCATGCCACGGCGACATCCTGCAATCCTCCAGTGACCTCGTGACCTGTTCAACTCAGAAGCTGATCTACACAGGATGCTGAAATATAATAAATCTTTAGACAGCGGCAACCGTGATCATGAAGTCACTGCACAACTACCACGTGTCTATTGCTTGCTTGTCCGAAGTCAGATGATAACCAGTTTGGTCTCTCGTATTATCGATATTCCCGTTGCAGATAGTCTCCACACGTTTAAAAAAAATTAGGCCCTCAAAAAACTTACCGCACTTACCGCCCTGCTTTTTTGGTAGACGATATCGTCCAGAATCACCGTGGTACACTTTAAATGTCAACCTCACCGTGGGTGCAGTCTGTGCCACAACCCTTCCATCCAACACGAATGTCATTAAAAATTTTAAACAAGAGCGTTGGATGTGAATATCTCAAAAGTGAATGGAGACGTAAATTGAGTTGTGACTTGTTTATTCTAACGTATCGATCCAAACTAGAACTGGTTATCAAACGGTGGGGGAGAATGTCACATCCATAGCTCGTGTATAATCCAATGAACTAGACACCGACCCCAATGGATTTCGGTTTTCACACACCACCCCGCTGCTTTATGGGTCAGGCCTTGAGTAGCCGAAGGCTCCGGTCATGAACTTCCTATTGAAATCCATTTAATTTAGCCTGGAAGCCCTACTCACTATCTTCTCGCGGCGGAGGTGTTTCCCCACCAAAGTGAGAGGACGAAAAGCCGATATCCGGGGCTATAGCCGGGTTGGTGGACCACTGGAAGTTCACCTAGGGGAGTTGGCCAAAAACCCCGATTCTAAACCAACCATGAGGAGACGTATGAACCACACCCACACCTTCTCGGTTGTGGCAGTGGTCACCGGCTCGATTGGGCATTGAGGTGTATTCGGCACCTTGGACGTCTGACCCCGTCCGAAGGGCGTATGATCCGATAAACTGGACACCGGCTCCCAATGGACTGCAGTTTTCGCACACCGCCCGGCTGCCTTGCGGGTCAGGCTTTGGCTAGCCGAAGGCTCCGGTTGTGGAATGCTCAAGAAAATTCACCTGCCTTGGCCTGGGCAACCTGGCAGTACTCAGCCCACAAGCCAATCGTGGAACATTTTCCTCTTTATAAAGATTATTGTACCATGATTTGTTTGGCACACAGTCTGTCCTCAGACAAGTGTGAAAAATATATATAATTTCTGTAGTATACAGTTTGATTGTTCATCATTGCTGGCGTCGGTCGCCCGGTCCAGAGTAGACCTTGTTCGAGGATGCACTCTAGCCTTTGCGCAACCAAACGCGGACTGCAAGGCAGCATCGATATTCCAGATGAGCCAGTGGCCAGTAGTTGGTTTATTCGCCTCTTCTGGAAAACCTTGTCGAGCAATGGATCTCGATAAGGAGCAATGACCATATTTAATGGCGGGCTACACACGCCACGTCACAGCGCTGTCCACAGATATATGTGGTGTTCTGTGCGGAGAACCCTTACCAGGAGTAAACCCACCACATCCTCGAGCGCTGCCGCTGATCGTCCGCGACCGCTTGTTCGAAGGGCTGAAACCCACCTCATACACGGTTAGCCGTGAGATGACGGCCGTTCCCTTATCCGCGACCTGGGGACGCGCTCGGTAGCATACAGTTCTGCTCTCCCGAGGTATACAGTTAGAACTCAGGCGTGTGTGAAAATGTAAAATTATATATGCATGACTGTAATCAATTTCTTACAACCAAAAGGTTTGGAAATATTGTACGTTTTGATGTGGTTTTTATTTTCCCCGTTATTTTTAATCAGTATAATTCAAACATAGATTCGATTATGGTCCAATTTTTCTTACTTTCAGCTGCAGTGACGTAGTACTGAAAATGAGCGTCCAGTCCGTTCATCTGTCGGAACTGGAGTGCAAGGCACGAGCAGATGCTCTAAAACGAGTGGCTGAGCTTTTTCAGGTAGATTCAGTTTTCTTCTGTGGTCACGTGTATTTTCTGCCGTGTTAGAAACCGGAACAACTAGATAAGATTGATGTAGTCAAGGCACGATTCATGGAACAGAAGGTTCGTGCGTTTTTGTTCATTTGTTCTCAAATTGATATAATTAGACAGCTACTGAGGTTCAACTCCGAATGGCTCTCCACAGCCAACTCGATGGCAGCCGAATCGGGTTGGAGAAGCTAGATTCTTCGTTGACTGAATCAGGCACTTGCCGAACTCGGTAGGTTTATCTCCCCTTCCTCGTTTTTACAATCACTCTTTTATCTATGTTCTCAGACTTGTGGAGTTGGGCGCATCCTTGGGCACATTGGAAGGGTTGCCTTCCCGTTTGCAAGAGCTGAAAAATATTTCCCGGAAATACAGTCAGGTATATCACAATGTGGCTTTTTGGTAATATTGTTTTCACCGCACGTTTGTAGCTTGCAGCTGCTATGGAAAATATGTCCTATTTGGTGAAAGTTCCCGAAGCCATGGAACAAGCTCGAGCATGCATCGAATCGGAAAATTTACTCGATGGCCATAAAATGTAAGTGCTAATTCGGCTGTCTGTGTAACTATGTCTATGTTACCCTTAGTATCCAAGAGCTTGAGGGTGTTCGGGATGAATTGATGTCTGAAGTACATCGTGAAAAATCGCTTCAGGATCTTCAGGTTTTGTTGTTCTTATCGGTCATTATTATTCCATAAACACAACAGACCCTTGAGGCTTACTTCAGTGGAGTGGAAGAGCTGAACGCGTTGTTTCGAACAAAAATTTCCATTATTGGTTCCCGACTGACCAGTGCTGTCGTCACTCAGAACGTGCTCGTCGTTGATTGTGTGCGAGTCATTGATCGAGAAGAACGGTGAGTTCGTGAGCTTCCTGCCCCGACAGGGCAACAAACAGTAGGTCTTTTTTCATGCAAACAACTATGAGATCTGTTTTGTTTTATCGAACAAAACCTTACTTTTCTTTCTGTGAGGACTCCTCTCGTACACGTTAAACGGAAGGCTTTCCGTTGTTATTTCTTTCTAATTTCCAGATATCCAATGATTCTGTTTTGTTGTGATTCATCATGACTGATTCGTCATCTCTATTATTATCTTGACTCCGAGCGTCTCGTGATTTTTAGGTTTGGATATGCTGGGTGGTAACCAATCACCTCATGCACTTCCCAAAAGTGCTTCCGTACCACCAAGCATCCCAAACAACCTATACTGAGAAGGACTTTGTTACTGTCTATTCCTGAGTGTATCGCCTTTCAAAGGGAGTAGATGAAAAACTACTCTTAGGAACTATACCGTGTTGAGTTATGTAATCACTGGTGGTTTATCTAATGAAGTGGGCAAAAACGCTTGAATTTCCCCCGCTTCTTCCTAGTTCGGGATATGCTCACGGGCCTGAATGAACATAGAACTATCACGGCGAGACTGCATCTTGAAGTGGTGTGACGGCTTGTGCATCTCTCTGACCCAAACGAGCTACATAGGAGGGCTTTTGTTAAGCCAGAAGATCTTATCATGCCCCTTCCCGATAAAAGGAAGAACCAATTTGAAAAGAAAATAGCCATCGGGCCACTGTTTATTTAACCAAATTTGTCATGTATGAACACATATGGTAGGGTGCATGTGAGATCTGACTGGTTATTTAGACTGCTGTTATGACAGTCTTCTCGAACTGTTCTTTGCAGAGCCGATTCAATCTGGCAGAAACGGTCGGAAAAGAACGGTTTCCTGCCATGCGGTCGACCGAAACGATGGAAACAGTTATTCTTCGACGCTGTTAACCAGGCCATACGAGACAAGTGAGTTGGTCGAGTGAGATTTGGACCAGTATTGATTAATGCACTTCACGTCTCTATATGAATGTAATTTTCACGTCGTGGAATTATATATATATATATATATATATATATATATATTCATGTCTAATAGTTGTGCCTTCAGTTCGTTTTCTTAAATAATTAATTTCGTATTCCGTGGACTGGAAGAAAAAAAAAGTTGGTTCAATAAGAGGTCGCATCAGAGTGATGGAGGCATTGATCCGATTTCGCAGAGGGAATTCGTCGTGTATAGCGAGCAAATGAAGCGTGAACTGAAAAGCTAGGAAGCACTGGACAGTCGTTTCGACCTGGTTGGGTCTCATCAGCAGTGCGAATCCATCGACCCAACTGGGGGTCGAACCCCTATGAAAAAGGTTCACAAAGAAGCGATGAAGGTATATGGTGATACTTGGATTGAAGCTTGCTCTAATCCTTGTTAGTTAATTAGACCACTGACGGTAGTAATAATTCAGTAGTTTAGTCACTGTCATCAGCGTGCTGTGGACCCCGTGGTCCGAGGTTCGAGCCCCACCACCGCCATCCAACTTTGGTGGTAGGCAGCTTTGCTGTCACCCGGTTCAATACCACGCCAGAGCTAGCGGGGCTTTATGTGGTTCGCCACTCCAAACCTCGGGGCTTAGTTTACCGGTTATCATCACTAAGCAGCAGGTCTTCATGACTACGGGGTCCGCTCCGACTACTGTTCATCACACACTGGTGTGTAATAAAAAAGAAATCTCAAGCACTAAACTCACTTCACTTCATTATTCTTCAGGTATCGGTTAGGTGCTGTGTGCATTGGTATTCTCTGATCGCTTTGATTACAGACTAGGCTTCCATAATGTGTGTAGAATGTATGGGACGTTCGGGCTATAGCTCTGTTACTGTTAACCATTCTCGATCTCCGTTGTCCTCCCGGTTTTTACATTACAATCCCCTTGTCCACCGGGATCATCCTGTCACATGTTCAGGGTATTCGGCAGCGCGATGGACAGTGATGATGACAAGAACAAACTGGTGCGACACAACGAGGCCATTCGGCAACATACACGAGCCGACTTGAAAATAGCCAAAGTAAGCATGACCATGTTCGCCAGTGTATTCTTAGCTTTTCAGTTTTTACAACTTGTAACCATGCCCTTTCGTGCACCGGTCTTGCTGGCTGTCTTTTGGTGCCCCATTTGGATAAAACAACAGAATAAAGACTGGTGTATTGAGAGCAGAGTTGAAGAGAAGACAAAAATTCATATAGACTTGGGTTGCAAGAATATTGAGTAGATGAACCAATGCCACTGTTTGCGATACAGCCATATTCCTCCGTGATCATAACCACCGGTTACCATGATCTTGGGTCCTCCAGGGACCTATGTGACCTAGTCCCCTGGTTAGGGTTTTTGTACCCTCATGGAGTATATTATCCTGGCACTAGAGAACAAACTCTGCACCAACGATTGTTAGTATTGTATTGGACAGAAACTTCTCAAGTCGAGATATTGTCCCGTCAAAGTTGGCTTATGAGATACAGATTTGACATTAGTGCTTCGGATGGTGATGAAAGATTTCCGAACAAATTGCCAATCTCGGCGAGCAGGCGAAATAAAATTCAGCATTACAAGACCTTGGCACTAGCCCTGAGCGTTGATCATGCATGTGTTCAGGCTGTCCTCCGATGTTGTCGCGATCAGCCTTAGCGTGTGGCACAGATAACGTAAACCCAAGTGAGAGGGCCTCGAGTTGTAATCGACGGAGTGTTAGATTTGATATATTGATCACTTACCTCTCCGGATTCGGAGGGAAGTTGTCATTTTTGCATGCAGACAAGGAGGTTTCTTTTTCTGTTCTCGTATTGGTCTTGTTTTGTAGGTCGGGGATAAAGTTGAAGAATTTTATTCGACACTGGATCTAATCCATTTAACGATAAACGGCCTGTCTGACTATCGACCTCAATTGCCGTGCACAATGAACGGAATCTTCAGTGTGAGATTTTGCAAGACGACTTAAATTCCTTTTAGTCCAGAATGATCTCAAATGTGTTTTGCATTACTCATTTTGCTATTTATTTTTTTTTACCACAGATTTTTTCTGTGATTATTTGTAACATTTCGGTTTGATAGTGGTTCAGGCTCAATGTCAGCGGTATGAATACTTTATGTATTTGTGATTGCTGTCTTTCTGTTGGGCGAAACAGTATAAGGGGCACAGTGCCTGTTTCTACTAGGGGAGGTGTCCAATATTGTACTATGTTCCCCAAAGTTGGATCGTCTCGGTTTTTTTGGAACTGATAAGGGGAATCCCCCAGTTCGTTGGGGAAGAAAATAGAATTGATTTGAGCTAATTATCCTTCGGACTTCACCTTCGCGCACAATCCTCAGTTCATCGATTCAACCATACACTCGGAAGCACTAGACTCAAGTTTCGCTCTTATTAGGGCTCATCAATAGTGCATATCCACCGTCCTGTCTGGGATTTGAACTCCGGACCCATCGCAAGGAAGGCGTGTGCGTTACCAATGCGCCAACTAGCTCATGCCACGGTTGAACCAAATTGCCAATTCATGTTTGTTCAGGTGTCGTCTTCAGTGACAGTCAGTTCAGAGTGGCCCGATACTACAGCTTCGTCCCACTCAGACAGAAAAGAAATTTAATTCAGAGTCTCACATCACGAGCGCGAAAGATCTGCTCTGACTACGTGATAGATGAGGAACTAACAAAAATTAAGGACGTCCTCAGAGAAAATGGTTATCCTGAACCGTTCATTGAGAGAAACCTTCGGGAAAGGCGACAATCCGAACAAGTTCATGAGGCCCAAAAGAAAAAGCTATTCATTCGTCTACCTTTTCAAGGAGATGCTATATCAGACCTCTTGAACAAACGTACAGTGAAACGGACCTACAACGCTTATCGTGTGTGTTCACAGGCTCGCCCATCATCCGAACTAGCCACAAAGATAGACTGTCTACGCTGGCCACCTCCATGGTTATCTACTCTTTCCGGTGCGTTTGTAATGCAACGTACATTGACCGCACGGCGAGGCAACTATCCCAACGGATGAAGAAGCACTGCCCACGTTGGTTAAAACAAGGAGGAACAGGAAGCATAGGAAGTGCCATTCTTGGTCATCTAGTAGATACAGGCCATCAAATTAGACCGGAATCGGCTTTCAACGGAATCTATCGTGTGCCCCCCAACCACTCCAAAGCAGTGCCCTTACATACACTAGCCACCGCTGAGGCGATAGGCATTCGCCTATTCGCACCAGAACTATGTGCACAAAAGCAACTGGTTCAAGCTCTCCACTTACCCTGGCCCCAAATTAATCACCAACATCAACACTCCAATCACAATCAGTCTCACCCGAACACAGACACATAGAGTGTACGCCTCCCCTCTCCTCATCCCAAATGACCCTTTGACCCAGCGTGAAAATGTGTCCCACTAACAACAAACCGTTATATGATCTGTACAGGCACGATTATGAATCATTCGAAAACTATTGTTCGCCTTCGGACTTGTGTTCTGATGATTCAAGAGTCGTTGAACCGTTTGGCAATTGAGGTTACTCGCTATGGTATGTCATTTGCACCTTCAAAGTGTAAAGTGTTGTTGTAAGATTGGCAGGAACCCATTCCTGCACTTTCGTTCGGTGATGACACTCTGGAAGTAGTCGGAAGCTTTGTCTATCTTAGGAGTTTCATAACGGCTGGCGGAGGTGTGGGTGAGGAGACCTCTCAACGTGTGATCAAAGATAGATTAACGTATGCTAATCTGCGGCATCTCTGGCGCCGGCGCGACATACCCCTTTCACTGAAGGGCGTGCGTATTGCGCAACGGTACGCACAGTGTTTCTCTATGGCCGCGAGACCTGGTCTCTCCGAGTAGATCACGTGCAGCGATTATCAGTCTTCGACAACCGTTGTCTGCGCAACATCGTCCGCATATGGTGGGAGCATCGCGTGAATAACGATGAAGTCAGACGACGGGTGGTAGGACCAAATAGTCTTCCTTTGAGCTAAAATAATTTCGCTGCATCGTTTTAGGCGGCTAGGGCACGTCCTACGAATGCCTGAGCAGCGTCTGCCATACCATGCACTATTCGCAGACATCGGTCCAGGATGGAAGAAACAGTGAG